GGGCCCCCCGCGAGTGCCCCCGACCGCCCAGGCCAGCTGGCGTGGCGGGGGCTCGCAGTGGGCCGGGCAGCAGGTCCAGGGGCTCCCGGGAGTGTCGCGTCGAGGTCGCACTCCGCCGTCGGCGTTCTGCGGCTGAGAAAACTGAAGCACAAAGAGATTAAGTCAAAGAGATTAAGTCACTTGCCCGAGGTCGCACAGCTGGGAACTGGAGGGGGCGGGATTCGAACCCCCGCACCTAGGCACAGTCAAGCCAAGCTCTTGCGCTAGGTTTTATAAGCCTCGTCCAGGGATATTCGGGGCTGCCACTTAGTGAGCGCTTACTGTGTACCAGGCACTATGCGCTGAATACAGGAAAGCCTTTTGAGGCCTTACTCCTAGGCACTGTGTGCAGACATTCATTCACTCATTGCGTCAATGTTTCCTTACCTCTTGCCACGTGCCGGAATATGTTATAACTGCCAGGCGCTGTGCTAGGGCTGTGTTGGGAGCAGACCCTCCCTCTTGGCTACATTCATTCAATGACCAACATTTCCTGAGAGCATATGGCCTGGGAGTCCAGAGGTGTGCCAGTAAGAGGAGGCTGTCTCCCAGCCCTCAAGGCTTTGCTTCCGGCAAAGGTGGGAAGGAGAGAACAACTTCTTCGCCAACAAGCCACCAACTTGGAAGAGTCAGCTGTTTCAGGCGGATTGGACTAAAAGAGAGGAAGACTAGAAACAGGGGAAAGATGGAGTGTAATAAAAGGAGAGAAGTCTTAGACGTGTGAATAGAGCTTTAGAACTTACACAAATAACTGCTAAAGTGAAACCCATGAGCAGCGTGTTACATATATTATTATCAAGGCTGACACTAGGTTATAACCCGCTGACACTATGTTATAATGAATGTATATACAAAGTGCTTTATCAACATGCATGGTGTTACTTGGGCCTGAGCAATCAGTCGGTGGGATGGTCCATTATATCCCAAGGGGCCTTCATCCTGCACACCTGGTCACCAAATTCTCATTCTTCAGTAAGTTTAGGTTTAACTTGTTAGTAAGTCTCCCAGAGCAACCCAATAGAAAAATGAGCTAAGGATATGGACAGTTTAGAGAATAGGAAAGACATGGCTTTTAAGTATATAAAAAGATGCTCAACCTCACTCGTTGCTATGGACTGAATGTTTGTGTCCGCCTCAAATTCATATGTGGAACCCCTAATCCCTAGTGTGATGGTATTCAGAGATGGAGCCTTTGGCAGACAGTTAGGTCACGAGGGTGGAGCCCTCATGATGAGATTAGTGCCCTTGTAAGACAAGACTTGAGAGAGAACGCTTTCTCTTCCTCCCTCCCCTCCACTCCCCTCCCCCTCTCTCTGTCTCTCTCTCTCTGTGTCTCTGTCTTTCTGCTGTACAAAGTCATGACCACAAAGAGGGCTCTTACCAGGAACTAAACGGGCACCTTGATGTTGGACTTCCCAGCCTCCAGAATTGTGAGAAATAAATTTCTGTCATTTAAGCCACCCAGTCCCTGGTAATTTGTTATGGCAGCCCAAGCAGACTAAGACATTCATTATAAGAAAAACAAACTAAAACCATAATAAGGATTGGCAATATTTTAAAAGCTTAGGCAAATATGGAGGGAAGCAGAACTCTGATATACTGTCAGTGGGAATATAAATTAGCACCACAGCTTTCGGTGTCAATTTGGAGACATCGAAATTTATAATGCATGTACCCTTTGACCCAGCAATTCTAGTTCTAGAATTTTATCCTACAGAGATACTTGTGCAGATGTATAAAGACCTGTAGCACAAGGACATGAATTATAGTACTAATTGCTGGGCAAAAACTGGAAGCAACCTACATGTCCATCATTTGGGGAGTAGTTAACAACATAATTTAATTCCGTGTAGCCATTAAAAATAATGAGTTAGCACTATGTGTCTCATATAAAATAATCTCAAAAATAGCTTATTAATTGAGTATCTCTGGAAGGTTACCCGAGACTCTAGTCATATCAGTTGCCTCTAGGGATGGGAGTCAGGGTGGGAAGAGGGTGGGGAGAGTACTTTTCACTGTACTGTTTGCGTTTTCTTTCTTTCTTTTTTCCGAATATGTATATTACCTGCTCAATGCAGTGTTATAAACAACACAAATCAATAAATAAATAAAATTGAAAACAGAATAATCAAATGGCACCATAAAAGGAAATTAAAAAGCAAATAAACAACACAAGACAAAAGAAAAAACCTCATCTGAGGGGATTACCTTGGCTGTCAAAGCCAAGGCCCCAGAGTGGAAGGGAAAAGGCCAGAAGTGCAGTGTGCAATTGCCCTGGCAACATGAGGACAGAAGGAGAACCCAGGGGAACTGGGTTCTAGTCTCAGATGTGCCACTGAGCAGCCCTGTTAGCTCAGACAAGCCCCTCAACCTCTCCGGGCCTCAGTTTCCTCATGTGTGAACAGGGCAGCCGGGGTGATCCTTCAAGTCATTTCTAGCAAGAAGACTCGTTGATTCTGCACAGTTGAGAGGACTGATAAAGATCTGCAGAGTTCTTACTCAATAGAGAAAGCAATGGGAGTTGATGGAAAGCCTCAGGAGATAAGATGAAAAGAAAAGAAAACAAAAACCATCAACTGACTACTAGGAAGCAGCAAGGTACCAGGCACTGGGACTTCTGAGTACAGTTTCGTATGTGGGGACCTCATCAGAAGCATCCTCCTGACTTAGTTTCTCCATTTGTGAGAATGCCTGCTGCCCCGGCAGGAAATAGAGGTTCCACTCTGCACAGTCTCAGGTCTTATTCTGAGAATGACAGGTTAGTTCCCTTTCATGGTTACCAAATGTAATGGCAGAGAGAAAATGGAAGCAAAAATATGACCAGAGGAGGAACCATCTATTCGAGAGACCACAGGAAACCACCACAGCTGCAGGGTGGGAGCATTTTGCAGGAGTTAAGACTGTTGCTTCAGAGTAAGACACACCTGGGTTCCAATCCCTGCTCTGTCGTGCACAGAGCTGTAGAGCTGTGTAGCCTTGAGCAGGTCATTTAAGCCCTGTGACCCCCATTTCTTCCTGTGCATTGACCTCCCAGGGTGATAACACAGAGAAAGTTCCTAGCACAGTGCCCGGCCCCACAGACGGTGATCAATGAATTATAACAATCACAGTCACTAGTCCATCCTCGTACAGTGGAAAGTGGCACCCAGTCACATCACTTGCAGCTTTTTTCCCTTTAACCTAAGCTTTATTGGATTTATTTTATTATAAATAACAAAATGTTAGCTAGAGAAAATCAAACGATATAGGAGCATACCAAGAAAAGGGAGTCCTGTTCTCTCTCCCCCACTAGGATAACCAAAGTCAACGAATTGTTGTGAATCTTTACTGTTCCTCCTCTGCGCTCATACCAAACAATGCAATTTAAAGACACATTTCTAAGGGAATTTTTTTTTTTACTTTTTGCAAAAATGGGATCATGTCACATACATTACTTTGCAATCTGCTTTTTTCTCTTAACAATTTATCACAAATACACCTCTAGGCCTATATATCTATATCTAACTCATTCTTTTATTTGTTGTATAATGTTTCCTCGAACACCTGCACCATAATTTATCCAATTATTCCCCTATTCCTGAATATTCAGGTGGTTTCCAGTTTTTTCCTATTCTAAATAAGGACGCAGTAAATATCCTTATCTATATATCCTTAGGTACTGACATTTTTATTTTTGTAGAATAAAGTCCCCAAAATATGATTGCTTTTTTATTGTTAATAAATGTGTATTTTTATTGTTAATAAATACAGCCGGAAGACTTTCCCCAAAGGTTGTAGCAATTCACGCTCCCTCAAGCAATACGGAAAGTGCGGCCACTTCCTCAACACTTTGCCAGCGTGTGGATGTTGCCAATCTTCAATTTTTGCCAACCTGATGGTGAAAAATGGTATCATTGTTGTTTGAATTTGCCTTCCCTGAACTCTAGTAAGATAGATCTCTTAGGTGTTTTGACATTTCT